TGAAATTTAGACAGGAAACCATGGCATTCCGAAAGCTGAGTCGGCCAACTCGTAGGATACTACATTTTTTATCATTATACCGCAAAAGCTAGTCCTTCGACCAAGTTTGAGGTCGATTTAGGTTTCCTCGCAAATGCTTTTTGTCAGCTAAGTTTCTGATGACGCTCCAAATCTCAATATAATCGGCAATCATAGCGACATCAAAATCCAGTTAACGGACGCAGTTTTTGACGTACATAATGAACCATGTAGGGCCACGAACAGAGCCCTAGGGAACACCGCTCTCAACCGTAACCTCTGCCGACTGCTGGTCACCGACATGGACAGTGTGAGGAGGCCAAGTAGAAAGCTTCGAACCCAATTCAGGAGATTACCTCTAACACCTATTCGGCCGAGTTTTTGTAGTTGACGTTGGACACTATCAAATGCCTTCTTAAAGTCAATATAGACAAAATGGAGCGGATTTCTTGAATCAACTGCCCCGTTCAAACGTTCCAAACAGTAGAGCAAGTTTTTCACGCAGGACCTGCCTCTGCGGAATCTATGCTCCTCTAAGAAGCAAGTCACCTCTCGCTTTATCAATATTACATAATTTCGCAGCAGCTTGAAGCAAGGCTTACGGAAAACTTTCTGCCGCCTTTATACAACGTTTTGGCGGTGCAGATTTCCGATTGGTGAGTAAACAGCGAACTTCAACCGAAGTGCTGAAAAGCATAGAATGCGGATAGGCCACAAGTAACCATCAGGCGCCGGGTCATAAGACCGCATAATCCACTGCTACGGCAGGAAAAGGCCGGAGTCGTTTACTGGATCTGGTATAGTTGTAAGAAACGGTAAAGTCTTAATTTCATTTCAGAAAGGTAAAATTATAAGAAATAATCCCGCAAATCTGTGCAAATATGCTCTATAGGCGTCATTTCACCCTTTTCATGGACCACAAGTCTCTTCTTGCTACTTTCGGCTCAAGAAAGACATTCCTATGTACTCGGCAAATCGTCTGCAACGCTGGGCAACTAGGCTGCTTGGCTGCAACTTCGACATCCAGTCTACAAAAAAAATAAATCAGGCCGACGCACTCTCGCGCGTAATCAACTCACGGACGAAGGAACGCAAGGAAACAGTCATAATATCTGTCTCCCTTGAATCAGAAATTAACGATATTTTTCTGCATTCCATTCGTTCACTCCCCGTCAAGTTTCAGGAAGTCCGGAATCCATCCCAACAGGATTCACTGTTGAAACAAGTCATTAAGTACCATCGTACTCAGTGGCTCGCAAAAATTTCTGGAGAATTGCAGCAGTTCTACCAACGACAAAATTTTCTGTCAACCGTCAGTGACTGCATTCTGTTCTGCGAACGTGTCGTGGTCCCACAGAAATTACAAGCCAGAGTCTTGAGACAGTTTCACACTTGACATCCAGGCATCAACCGCATGAAGACTCTTGAGCACAGTTATGTGGAGTCGCCTCTCATAAACTAACGACTGGTACAGCTGGCCCCCTCATGCACCAAATGCGCTTTCGCATCAAAGACGTCAACGAGGAGGGCACTCAAGGCCTGG